ACCTTCCCATCTTCTAAGACCTGGGCTGTGCCTCCGGGAAGCAGGCCACATCCTGCTGGTGGCAGAGAAACCCTGCTGGGAAGTCTTCCTCGGAGTCCGGCTTTCAGCAAGGCCCCAGAGGTGTGGGCTGCAGGAACTGCTTCTCCGGATCTTCTTGGTTGCCTGTGCCACCTTTGGCCAGAGTCGCTGGGCAGCTCCTGCCCCTCTTGGGGCCTTGGTCCCTCATCTGCGCAGCTGGGGAGGAACTAGGGTCCTGTGTGTGGCGGTGGGTCGCATCTCTGTAGAGGCTCACATGAGCCTGGTGGGTGAGCTGCAGGCCATGAGGCTATGTGAGCCCAGATGGGGTCCCTAGGACCTGCTGGATGGCAGCACTTGACCTACTTCTAAGGCTCTGGGTCTGGCCCAGGCCGCGTTCTCGACTCCTCCGGGAAGTGTGGGCCTGTGTCCCAGCCCAGAGGCCATGGGCCAGGAGGGGCGGTCTGGGGCGGGCCGGGGCGGCCTGTGGAGCCTGCGGCCTGGGGGACAAGAGCACATGGGAGCCTGCCTCTTCTTCCTCGCCTCTGGCTCCGAGACCCAAGGGACTAGACCTTAACCATCCCCCTCTCCCCCCCCACCATCCCCTCCACGTGGCAACCATATTTGAGCTCCCCAAATTGGCTCTGAAAGGATGAGGGACATTGTTCATGTCCCTCTGAACATTACCAGAAAGTTCTGCCAAGTACTTACCCCCCTGTTTGCCAAGAGTTTGCCCCTCCCCCTTCCCTTGTCTACCAAGGCAGCAGGCGGGCGCTGGTTCTGGTGCCACGTGGAGAGTCAGCAGCTCTGGTCCTGGGTCCCGGGCCCCGAGTCTGGCTTAGTGTGTCTGGAGTCTGGGCTTGGAGTCTTGAATCGTGAGCCCCGATATGGGGTCTGAAGTCTGAGTTTAAGGCCTTGGTTTTGTATCTTGGTCTTGAAGTCGGGGTCCCCAGAGTGGGCTCTGATGTTGGCCTCTGGGCTTCAGGTTCTAAATTTGGGGTTCAGATTCTGAGACCTGAGGCAGGGAGGTGGGAGGGTTGGTTGGTGGTGTCCAGGTTCCATATCTGAAGTCTGGGATCTGGGGTTTGAGTTCAGGATTTGAAGGCTGGTTTCTATCCCTTCTACGCCCCCTGCTGGCTGGCAGTCTCAGTCAAATCACTGCCTCTCCTCAAATCACTGTCACCCCCCCACATTTTCAGGCTGCTGAGAGGCATCTCAGTCACTGAGTGGTGTGAAGAGCAGACCTGGCTGAAGTGGGCTGAGGGGCTCTAGAGGTAGCATTGCTGTCTCAGGGCGCCCCTTGCCGTCCCCAGAACTCCTGTCAGTCAGCAGCCAATCTCACTGCTCTCACCAATCTCACTGCTCTCAGAATGAAGGTTGGCAGTGGGGGTCCAGCCCTGCTGTGAGAGCTGAACTGAGGTGTTGGGCACATTCACGCAGTCAACATTTATTGAATTGTCTACTGTGCACCAGGCTCTGTTCTAGACTCTTGGGATATATAGCTATGGGGGAACAATTTTGGGAGGCGGGGTGGGGATGTGTATGTGTGGGGATGGATACACACGCGTGAGATGAAATAACAGAGGAACCAGCTCTTTTAGGCTATAAAGGGAGGCGGAGTCAGGGTAAGAGGCAGGGCAGAGGGAGTAGGTCCAGGGTAGTCCCAGAAAACTCCTCAGAGGAGGTGACATCTCACTGAGGCGGCCAAGGGTTGACAGGCAGAAGCAGGGCCAGGGTCCCAGGCAAGGGTGCCAGGGGAAGGAACGGTCTGTGCAAAAGCATGAGGGGCTGGGAAGAACCTGGAAGGGGGCCAGTGTGAAAAGGACTCTGCCTCTGTCCTTAGAAGTCAGGGCCTACTTCTTCCCAACAGCTCCCCTAGTGGAAAAGGGGGAGGAGGTGGCTGTCTCAGCAAAGGCTCTGGAAAGTGACACGTGCGGTCTGCATTGGTCTGGGTCACCACTTGGGCATTAGGTTTGGGGAGGTTGGGGGTATCACAAGGGTAGCATTCAGACCCCTTCTCCTGCCCTCCAGACTTCCCCAGGCCCAGCTGGGAGGGGATGGTCTGCTGGGTAATTATTTATAGGGCACAGAACTGAGGCTGGCACTGGGAGAGACAGAAGAGTCAGGCCACGGTGTGTGACCATCCTTGCTGCCTCTGTGTGCCCAGCGTCGCCTGCCCATCTGCCCACCCTTCCTTGCCCCCCTCCTCACACGGCCAATCCCGCTGGCCCTCAAGGGGGTAAGTCCTGCAACTGCTTGGTCTCAGCACCTCAGAGTCCCTGTGGGGGCCAGGAATTACTTGCAGGTTCCAGAGTGGTCTCATGGTACCGTCATTCCCAGCAGCCTGGCTCAGACCGTTCCAGCCCAGGCCCAGCCTCCAGCTTAGCCTTGGGGAGGGAGTGGAGCACAGTTTTGTGCACCCCCACTCTGGAGCACATCTGCCCCAAGCCGGGGGTGGGGAGGGTGAAGGGGTAGGGGGGCGTGGGGTGAGGGACCAAGACTCCCTCCTCCAGGCCCCAGAAGGTGGTGCCTTGTGGCTCTGGCTGGCTGCATGATCCTCCCCAGCCCAGATCTGGCTTGACCACGTGGCCACGGCCCTCACCTACCCCTGTTCAAGCTGATACAGGTGGTTTCCCAGTCATGGCAGCTGTGTGTGGACAGAAGAAATGTGATGGGACAGGGACACCTGGTGTCTCTGTACGTCTTCTGTCCTAGGCCTCCCTCAGTTTTCCCTATGACGAGTGGTACCTTGTTGGCTGTGCCTGTGTGGTTGGAGCCCTGGGGGACATCCAGGGTCAGTTGTCCTGAGGGTGGGGTCAGCAGCCTAGGCCTCGGGCCGCCCAAAGCCTCTCTGTGTGTCCCCTGCTGGCTGTCTTCTCCTCTTGTGGTGTTTCTGGTTCTTCTCTGTGGACCCTCCCCCACCCTTTTCTTTCTCAATACTATTGCCAAACATCTGGAAGAAAAGTGAAAAACTTGCCCCCCCCCAGCACCGGATGTTGTCAGATTTCCAGATGTGGGGTGTTCTGCCCTCCAGATGAGGGGAAGAATGTCCTGTGTTCCAGCTAGGAGGGGCCTGTCCCTTTACTCAGTAGCTGACAGGATGAGAGGGACCCTGGCCTGGCAGGAAGACGGTGGGAGCACCCCAGGTAAGGGCCCGGGTGAGTTCTTCCTCAGAGCCTCCCCACCTCCACACCCAGGAACCCCCAGGGATTTGGTAGGGGGGAATGTCTCTGAAGTTTCTATCAAAGGCTCCAGGCTCTTAAAAATAACAAGAAGCACCTCCTTCTAGCCGCCGGCGCAGCACTGGGCGAGGACCAGAGCCCAATGTGTTTGCAAGATGTCTGCACTTAGCGCTCTGTGCCTGGCCGGCCTCGGTCACTCGCCTCTCCACCAACCCCCACCTCCCGAGATGGTGGCCAGCCAGGCTGCGCTCAGCCACTGCCATCTGTGAGGATTGGGTTCCCAGGGCAAGCCAGGGGCTGGGCCCTGGGGTCAAAAGCTACAGGTGAGGGCCCTCCCTGGTGACTCAGCAGCTTAAAGCACAGCAACAAGAAGCTAAAGCCACTTCAGCATGAGTTCGATCCCCGCCCACCCTGGAGGTGACCCACATGGCGTGGCAGACCTCTCCTGACCTGCCCACTGCTCCCCTCAGCAGTGTACTTCGTCAGTCTGCCTATTCTGCTCCCCACTCTGTCTCTGGTGAGTCCTCTCACCGCCCCTGCACGTCTGGCCCGTACCCCAGTTCTGTATGCATGAATAAATAAATATTAAAAAAAAAAGCTACAGGTGAGCCACCCGAACTGGGCACCAGGGGGCAAACCTTGCCCACTCAGAGAAGAGGCCCTCTCAGGGTCCCCACCAAAAGCATCAGCAGGGGAAATAGCAGGACTGTGGGAAGGGCATCACAAAGCTTCCAGGAAGAGGAGGCAGTGGGCCAAGGCTTGGAAGTGCTAGGGAGGAGGGCAAGGTCGCTGGGGTGCTGGCCCAGGTCCGGCTGCTGGTGAGCAGGTGCTGGGTGCTGTGGGAAGGAGCTACCGGGAGCTGGGAAGCGACAGGAAACCCTCGTGTCCACGCACCTCTCTCCCCAAACACAGAGCAGGCCCCGAAAACCCCGGGGCACCCAGAGGCAGACACGCGTGGACTCCCACCACACCTGTGCACACCCAGGCAGGTGCTCGTGAGGGGGCGGTGGGGCTGCTGGGATGCTGAGCGGGACGGGGTGTCCCCTCCGGGGAGCAGCACCCACTCTGCTGCCACCTGGGTGTCCCACGAGTCCCTTGACCCAGGACCGGACGGCAGCTGGGGGCGAGTCGGGACCAGACGTACACACAGACGCATAAAGCTCCCAGACACAAACAGAAATGACACCCACAGACGCGCCGTAGACACAGAGACGCGGGTGATTGTAAACATCCAGACAGGCCCCCAGAGGCGACACAGACGCAACACAGCCGTGCCCCAAGGCTGCAGCCATGGCACATACAGGCCTGTGGTACATGGAGACAGCCAGACAGCACATACGAGACCCCCCCTCACACACCCAGACACACAGCAACACACGGAGGTACACACAGACCCCGCCTTCCACACGGACAGACACTGGAATTCGCTGCACACATGGAAGTTTAACTCAAGAGCGCCCTTAGGTAATCTCAGTCCTCCCCCAAGAACACACGCACTAGAACCAACCTTCTTCGCCTGTCCAATTTATTGACCTGCTGAGGAGCGGCGGGGCCCTGGGATATAGCGTGTGGGCGCCTACGTAGGGGTGGCCAAGGAGTGGCCTCTGCCCTGCCTCTCCCCTTGTCTCCCCCACCGTTCCCCAGCCTGAACAATGCCCTCCCCAGACCCCAAAATAGCACCTGAGCCTAGCCAATGTCCTTTTATGGCCTTGTCCCTATTGTGCGCTGTGGGGGTGGGGGTCAGGAGGGCCCAGGCAGGATAAAGGCCCCGGGGGCGCCAGAGCTCAGAGCTCATCCACTCTGCTGCCCGCTGCCTTCTCGCCACATCCGTCTCAGTGCTCAGTCTCCATGGCCCCCAAAAAGCCAGAGCCCAAGAAGGATGAGGCCAAGGCAGCCCCCAAGGCCGCAGCTGCTCCAGCACCTGCACCTACCCCTGCATCCGCACCAGAGCCCGAGGGCCCCAAAGAGCCTGAATTTGATGCCTCCAAGGTCAAGGTGAGTGTGGGAACTTGAGAAGGGCAGAGCAGGTAAGTGTCTCCCAAAGTGGGCCTACCCAGCCTTTAGAAAGTGTGCCTGGGCCAGAGCTGGAGGCTCTGAGCAGAGTTCAGACAGTTGCAGGGGCTTCGGGAGCAGGAGGGCTGGTGGGCAGCCAGCAGGCAGGAGGGGCTTCCCAGTGCTGCCGAGGGGCTGTCATTCAGTGTTTTTGGGAACTGACTCTCTGTTGCCCTTCTCCCTGGGTCTCATGGCCTTGGAGGGTCCCAGAGTCTGTTCCCCCTCCCCTGCAGCCAGGCAGAGATCCTCTTTGTTTGCCTGTGGGGTCCCAAGCCTGTGCCAGGTCTCCCAGGATGGTTGGGGTGGGGAGCAAAGGGAAGAAGGCCCCAAATCAGGCGGGGGAACACCCACCCCGGCCCAGGTCCCCGAGCCACAGGGCTGGTAGGCTCTCAGGTTTTAGTTGGGGAATTGAGGCACAGTCCGGGTAGGTCTTGCAAGAAGTTGGTCTTGGAGCAGTGAACAGCTGTGGCCCCAGCTGGGAGGTTTGATCCAGCGTCTACACTTGGGGAATGAGCCATGACTCCCACCATGGCATTGGTGTAGCGGCACGTACCCTGCACCCAGTCTGCACCCTGTTCTTGGCTGGCCACTGGCCCCTGCTGCCCCGCCTCCTGCACAGGGGCCCGGTGGAGCCCTCCTGGCCCTGCGGGGTTCCCACAAGCCAAGAGAGACCTGCAGTCCCTCTGCCCAGGGCCACCTCCAGGTCAAGACCCTCCCTGGAGGCGCCTACTTGTGGCTGCAACCTGGGCTCAAATCCTAACTCTGCGGCACCCCCTTGCTGATCGGAGGTTTTCTCAGCGGTCAAGTGGGCGTTAGCCCTCCCTGCAAGTTGTTGGGAACCATTCGCAATAAGTACTCCCTGGAGTTGGCTCCTTGCCCCCACCAGCCCCAGGCCCCAGACTCATGTGCCACAGGCTCCATGGTGAGGGTCCCCACACCCCATGCCCATGGACTCCCTGGCTCTGGCTTGGCAGGCTGGCCTGTGAGAGTCAGGGTAGTGAAGGCCCTCATTTCCCCCTTGTTACTCCCCCTTGGGTTGGCCAGTGAAGGGCAGGGAGGCTTTGCCGGGAGCTCAGGAAGCCTAATCTCCACAGGTCTCCAGGTGGAGAGAATGCCCAGGGCCCAGGAATGGCAACCAGTTCTTCCCAGCACTGGGCTGAGCCAGAAATCCAGAAGGGACACCGTGGCGGAGGGGTAGGGGTAGAATGGCCCTCCACTCTGGGGTGCACCATGGAGGTTGGTGGGGCTCAGAGGGAGCAGCAGTGGGAGGTGTCCCCTCCCCCAAGTTCCTTTCCCTTATGTGACCTTGACCTTGGGACCAGTGACTGCAGTGCTAAAAATAGATCTGGTATCTGGTGAGAAGGGGGACTCTGGGTCCCAGGAGGCCTCCTGACCTCACGAGGCCTCAGCAACAGCATTGCCCTAGTCCCCTTGTGCTATAGTTGGGGGGCTGCCTGCATCCATGGATGGAGGTGTAAACAGGGCCGCGTGAGTGACTGCCCAGCCTCTAGGGCTCTATTGGGCAGATATGTGGAAATACGGGCAGGCTCACACGTGTGTGAACACGCATGTGAAAACGTAGGCAACATGCCCTGCCTCCTGCAGATAGGTTCTCATGTGGAAGAAGCCCTGGGGCCTTTCTCCTCCCATCGCCTGCTCCACACCAGGCCTCCCATCTCGCTCTTGTGGACAGTTCTATCCGCTGGCTGCCGCGCTGGTGGGGTGGCAAAGTCAGCCTGGTCTCATCTTGTGGAAAGAGTAAGGAGGCAGAGGGTGTCAGGAGGGACAGCAAGGAGGGCTAATGCCCCACTTGACTGCTGAGAAAACCTCCGATCAGCAAGGGGGTGCGGCAGAGTTAGGATTTGAGCCCAGGTTGCAGCCACAAGTAGGCGCCTCCAGGGAGGGTCTTGACCTGGAGGTGGCCCTGGGCAGAGGGACTGCAGGTCTCTCTGGGCTTGTGGGAACCCCGCAGGGCCAGGAAGGCTCCACCGGGCCCCTGTGCAGGAGGCAGGGCAGCAGGGGCCAGTGGCCAGCCAAGAACAGGCACAGGCTGGGTGCAGGGTGTGTGCCACTATTCGGATGCTACTTGCGTGGTGGAAGATGGGGTGCAGAGGAGACAGGTTGGGGCAGCTGAGCAGCGGAGCTTGGGTGGGGCGGGCCACCCCCTCAGCCCAACGTTCAAGATCCTTGGGGTCTCTTTTCAGATCGAGTTTACACCGGATCAGATTGAAGGTGAGCAGAGGTCTCCAAGTCACAGGTTGCGGGGTTGGGTCTGGGGCCCTCAGCCTGGGGGTGGGCCGACTCCGGAGCCCACCACTGTTCGCTCTCCCGCAGAGTTCAAGGAGGCCTTCATGCTGTTTGACCGCACACCCAAGGGGGAGATGAAGATCATGTTCAGCCAGTGTGGGGACGTCCTGCGGGCGCTGGGCCAGAACCCCACACAGGCTGAGGTGCTCCGTGTCCTGGGGAAGCCCAAGCAGGAAGGTTGGTACATTTAGACTGAGCTCTCCCTAGTAGTGTCAGCCCCCAGGGGGTCTGCTGGGGGGGGGTTGGGGGTGGGAGAATGCTGCCCTCTCTGGAGGGACCAGGGAGCCTCCCTGGTATCAGTGCACTCTCCCGACACCCTCCCATGGCCTCTGGATGGGGACACCAAGGCCAGTCTCAGGGTGAGCCGACCAGGTGGTGAGCAGTGACATCGCACGTCTGACCCAGAGTTGGTTTCCAGGCCGCCTCCTGGACACAGGGCTGTAGCCGCGCAAGCTAGCTTCAGTGGCGGTGTGAGGTTGGGCGGGGGGCATCCAGCCTCCGCCTCCGCGCGCCCCCCTTGCCTGCCGGCACCTCTCTGCGGTCAGGTTCAGCCTCCCCGCCTCCTGGGTCAGAGAGCGTAACCTGCTTTGCTATGGGTAGGGTGAGATCCAGTGTGCGGGCTCGGAAGTCCTAAGGCAAATCCTTGCTAGGCTCAGCCGCCCCAACCATCACAGGTGACAGAGTGGGTGGGGTCGATAAGCCAGACACTAGGGAAGGCTGCTCCCTAAAAAGGAGAATGGAGGTGCTGGCCCGAGGCCACTGTGGTGCCGAGGCGGCAGCAAACGACCCTTGACAATCAGCAAGGACGTGGGTTGGCTGTCGTGGCGGCATGCTCGGGGGATGGTGACAGGGGCCGTGGGGGGGTGGGGGGCGCTCTGGAGCCGTGCAGGTGCGAGCCCCTCATTCTAAGGCACAGCAGAAGGGTGCGCCCAGCGGCCCGCTGAGCCCGGGGCTCAGGCCATCTCTCCACAGACCTCAACACCAAGCTGATGGACTTTGACACGTTCCTGCCCATGCTGCAGCACACGGCCAAGAGCAAGGACACTGGCACCTACGAGGACTTTGTGGAGGGGCTGCGGGTCTTCGACAAGGAGGGCAACGGCACCGTCATGGGCGCCGAGCTCCGCCACGTGCTGGCTACGCTGGGTGAGGGCAGCCTCCTCCCCCCACCCCGGCCCCCTGGGGTGGGCCCCCACTGTCACCCACTCACCAGGTCTCCTGTGCCTCTGTCAAGGTACCTCCATGGCAGGTGACAGAAATGTGGGGAATTCGGAGTTTTAGGGAGGGAATAAAGAAAGTGCGTTGGTGCAGCTCACAGAACTGAAGGGGCCAGGACAGCGCTGGAGACAAGGTGGGCAGGAGGGAGGGTCCCGGAGGGCCAGCCGAGTCCTGGTGTTCGTTGTCTCAAGGTCAAGTCCAGGGCCACAGCATCTGTGTGGCTGGGTGGACCCTGGCCTGCCTCTTGGGCATCCTGACCCCCAAGGGGCTGTGTGCACCTCCTGATCCTACGTCTACCCCTTGGTGTCTGGCTGGCAGGGGACCCCTTTCTCCTGCAGCGGTTATCACGTGCCTCTGTGCAGCTCCGTGCTGGTCTCTGGGCTGAGTGAGTGGGTGTGCTGGAGGGCGCTGCAGTGGGCAGTCTGGAGGGACAGCAGCAAGTCCACACAAGAGTGCAGAGGCGGGCTAGTGCCAGGCTCTTCTGGGAAACAGTGGTGGGATCTTTGGGGTAACTCCACAGCCCGCAGGGGCCCCCACTTCACCCTGTGGGTCCTTCCTCTGGCCCAAGGCCTGCCCCAAAGGACTGCTTCCAGAGGCCTAGTGAGGACAGAGGACAGTGGAGACTGGCGACCTGAATGCCAAGATGGCACAGTCATGGACAGAGCCTAGGCTTGGGGGCACCGGGCCAGACACTCTATTTTGACCAGTCCCTGCCTCTCCTGGTCTCAGAAACGGGTGTCACCATTGCCTTATGAGCACGGATGGCTGTGCCGGCAGGGGGTGGGGTTGGGGACACTGGGTGGGGGGTCACAGAACCGCCTGTGGAGGCGCTCAGTGCTCTCCCCGCCCTGCCTACCTGCCTACCTGCGGACAGTTGTGCTGACTCAGCCTCCCACCCCTGCCAGGTGAGAGACTGACAGAAGATGAGGTGGAGAAGCTGATGGCTGGGCAAGAGGACTCGAATGGCTGCATCAACTATGAAGGTGGGCTCGCGAGGCCAGGGGTCTTAGAGGGCTGCTGGGGGGACCCGAGGCCATGCTCTGCTACCCGGCACTGAGCCCCTGCCACCCTCTTTCCCCTTCTTTCCAGCCTTCGTGAAGCACATCATGGCCAGCTGAGCCTTTCACCTCGGGTGAGACCCCTATTTCCAGACTCGCTGCTGATTTTGGCCCTGTCCCCCCCAGCACTGCCCCTGTGATCCGAATACCCTGTGGTCACCTCCCATCTCCACCTACTCCAGTTCTCAGCTGGTGTCTTGCCACCCGCATCCGTCCCCCACGCTAACCTGTGGCTGCCTTCTCTCTCAGGGAGCTGGGGGAGCCAAATTGGGCCGGTGCACCTCCATTCATGATGCTGTCGGAGGCTGGAGCTGCAGGCGGAGGGGGGCATGTGGAGACCCCTGCACTGGCTCTCTCTGTGCCACAGAGACTTCTCTGTGTGTGGGCATCTCCCTCCGGTCAGGCCCTGCTTGCCTGGGATGGTACTGTCCCCCCACGGCCTCACAAATAAATGGCTTGCCATCCTAACTTCCTGCCTTCCTTCTTCCCCCCGCCCTACCCTCTCTCTCTCCTTCTACCCTTCCTTCCTCTTTTCGGGTCCTTTTGACTGACCTCTGTAAATACAATCTATGGGCCATGTGGTGAGTGCAAACAAAACAGGGGGCCATTCTGAAATGCTGCCTGCTTGCTCCCATCTGATGTGCCAGCCCTGGAGCCTGGCCACCTGGACGGGGGTAGGAGCAGGGCTGAGCTGAAGGAGGGCTGGTGCCTCGTCCTTGCTCTTGCCCTGCCCCTTGCCTTCTGGAGAAGTCGGCTATGCTGTGGACCCCCGCACAAGGATGCTCCCAGGAGCCTGTGAGTCCAAACTGTCTCATCACTATGAGCAACCAGGAAACCGTGGGGCACTGGGCCAGAACCAGCCGGGTCACAGGTGGGGAAACTGAGGCCCAGAGCAGAGCCTTGCTTGAGTCACAGTGAGAATGGGTGTCAGAGCCGGAGGGATCTGACTAGGTTGGGGGAAATGGAGGCATTCTACACCTGGTGTTTCTCTAGGCCAGAGACGGAGGCCTTCCTGGGGCAGCACCCGGGGTCACCAGAGGCCTCCGCTGGGGCTTCTCAGAGAAGCCGTGTGTGGCCGCTGCCGTGACAGGAGGGAGCACAGGTGCTCACTCTGCTGCATCGCTGCCCATGCTGGCTCTGGGCCCGGGCCCTCCCGGCATTGGAGTCCCACGGGGAGTGCGAAGGGAGGCTCCCGGAGCATGGGATCCTCGCAGGTTTGATGGGGGAAGAGCAATGTCCAGCAGCAGACTGGGGACTCTAAAAATAGAGGGTGTGGTGATCAGGGACTCGGAGTGGGAGTAGGCTGGCAGGGCCGGGGACAGCCTGTGGGCCAGGAAGACCTGGGAGGTCAGGGTGCGTGTGGGGGCAGGGAGGTGTGTGAGGTAGGTTGGAAGGAGTTCAGAGGCCAGGCTGCCTGAGGGTTGGTGTCGTGTGGGGTGTCCAACTCCAGCGTGGCAGGGGACGCTGTGGGAACATGTGTGTGGGACAGTAAGCGAGGGGCGTGAGCCTGTCTGCAGGAGTCCGATGCATCGTCTTTGCATTATGTCAGCGTTTATCGAGCACCTGCTATGTGCTGGGCTTTGTTCTAGGCACTGGGAGCGTGCCGCAGGGAAAGCCTCAGCCATTGGGGACCTCACCCAACCTGACAAGTCACCAAACCACGAAGCTGAAGCGTGGCAACCAGATCAAGGCTGAGGGGGAGGGAGCCGACATGTTCCATAGTGAGGCAGTGAATGTCTCAGAAGGTAATAGTCGGGCAGAGATTTAAAGGAGAGGCTCCTTTAAGTGCAGAATACATAAAAAATCCCTATAACTCAACAACAAAAATTAAACAACCCAGTGCAAAAACGGGCAGGGACTGGAACAGACATTTTTCCAAAGAAGGCAGGCAAATGGTCAATAGCACAGGAAAAGCTGCTCCGTCTCAGAAATCATTAGGGAAACGCAAGCAGAAATCGCGACAAAATACCGCTTACACCACTTGGATGGTTTTTATGCCAAAGCCAAAAAAAAGCAAGTGTTGGTGAGAATGTGGAGAAACTGGAACCTTTGGGTACCCCTGAAAATGGTGCAGCATTGTGGAAGACAGTATGGAAGGGCCTCAGAAAATTTCAAGACCGCATTACCTTGTGACCTAGTAACTACACGCCACATGCAGACCCCGCAGAATTGAAAACAGGGACTTAGGGGGAGATTTATACACCATATGCGTCACAGCACTATTGACAACAGTCTAGGGCAAACAACTCAAGAGTCCGTCATGGATGGGTAAGTAAACTGTGGCTCACCCATGGAGTAGTACTCAGCTTTGAAGAGGAAGAAAATTAAAATGCAACCTATAACATGAGTGAACTTTGAGGACATGGCAAGACACAGAAAGCTCAGAACTATATGATTCCACTTACAGGAGGAACCACACAATACCTAGAGTAGTCAGAAAGCAGAATGCTTGCCAGGGGCTGAGGGGAGGAAGACATGGGGTGCTGTTAAGGAAGAGCAAAGCAGAAAAGAGCAGAGATGGCGTGTGGAGGGCTGGGCTTCCTAGCAGCAGAGCCTGGGGCCAGTGGTCTCCTGGGGGCGGGGTGAGCAGCTGGGAAGGGAAGGTGTCCCTGGGCACGTGAGGCGGGGAAGGCGCCGTGGGCTCTGGGGGCCCCTGCTGGGCCTCCAGGAGGGAGGGTCCTTGGCCCCCAACCCCCGGGCCTTCACACACCATTATCTCTGGCTGGGGCAGGCAGCATCTGTGCTAGGGAGTCAAGCAGGCAATTGAGGGAAGAGTTTTTGGCAGAGGGCACAGTGGCCCTGAGGTGGGAGCAGAGAGTTCGAAGGGAGGTGGCAGGACATGAGTCAGAGAGACAGTGGGCTGGTGGGCCGTGGGGAGGACTTTGGTGTGCGCTCTGGAGCTGTTTATCAGCATCGCTCTGGCTGCCTGTGGAGAGGGGACTGGCAAGCAAAGCCGAAGCAGGGAGACCAGTAGGGCTCCAGAAGAGAAGCCGTGCAGCTTGGGCTTGGTGAGAGGTGGTCAAACTCCAGGTCAGTTTTGGAAACACTCCTCTGCAAAATTGGGGGTGGAGTTTGAGATTTTCTGTTTTCTTTCCAGAGCTGAACAGTCCACTCCAGCCTAGGGCTGACGGGGTGGGGAGGGGCCGTGTCTGCCTTGTCAGTGCCATCTAGTCCGGCTGGTGGCAGGGCAGGGGGTGGAGGCATGCGTGCCTTGCTGCAGTGGCCTTGGCTGGTGGGGGTCTCCATGTGCGTGGGAGACCTTGCTGGACTCTGGCCAGCCTCCCTGGCCAACTGGTGGCTGTCAGCTCTGCAGAGGAGAGCAGGACCTCCCTTTGGCTCCAGTCAGGGCAGAGCCACTAGACATGGCCAATAACCCATCTGGGCAGCCCCCAGCTCCTGCCTGCCCCGGTCACTTCATTCCTAGACAATGCTAGACTCCCCTTTCACAAGTTTCTAGGGGCCATAAGGGAAAGAGTGGGTCCAGCATTTGCCTTCCGGGATGTCCACGCTGGGCCAGAGTCCTGTGGGTAGGGATCATACCTGTTCTCATTCATCTCCAGCAAGAAGTGCTTTTTCTTCTACGTTCACAAATGTGCCAGGGTATACGTGGTGTCCTGCTCTCTTAAGAATGCCTGCCTCCTTCTAGTTTCCAGTATGGCCCTCTCAAGCCCTCCCTGACACTTGGAAGGAGCCGTCCTATTCCTTCTGCCAGTACTTTCTGCAGCACCCCCTCTGCAGCACCCCTCCTGCAGCATCCCCTCCTGCAGCACCCTCCGGCAGCACCCCCTCTGCGGTACCCCTCCTGCAGCACCCTCCTGCAGCACCCCTCCTGCAGCACCCCTCCTGCAGCACCCCTCCTGCAGCACCCTCCTGCAGCACCCTCCTGCAGCAC